TCGAAAACTTTGTGATTTCCTTACCCATCGCGGAGCCCTCGACCCATCCGAAAGTGAGAATCCGAACAGTACGTTTTCTATTTCGATCGGTGCGAAAGTTTAAAATCGATGCCTCCAAATGCCCATTGATTGTCTGCTTGGGAAGTCCGTTGAGAAATGATGAAATTACTTGTAGAAGATCTCATTTGTTCTATTTCTTATCTCTTCATCGTCAAGATAGTGTTATAATAAACTACAAAAAAACATAAAAAAATGATGCTTTTGAAGAAATGCTTATGAATATAGAAACGAAAAGCAAATAAAAGACTTGATTTCATTGGTATATCTCAATATAGATAAGAAGAAAAAGTTTGCTTTTATAAAGATATATTTAAAGCCTTAATCAATGATTCATTCTCTATCTAATAAGACCCGAGAAACACACTATATTATGCTTTCATATTGAGATGGCATGATGAATATAGTGAAGCAAGTTGACTTGCCAAATTTTCGTTTCGATGTAAATAATATCAATAGTCGAGCTTTGATAAAGCCTGTAGATCAAACAATTTCGATTGGTGATCAATCAGGTTCAAATGATGAATCCGGAAGTTCTGGATATTGCGACATGTTTAGTGGTACAGATGGTAAAGGTGGTAATGGCACTGATAGACTAGATGGTAAGCCCAGTCACTCTAGTTGAGATTCTCAACATATATGGATCAGATTACGTGAAACAGTTGAAAGTTCAAATGTGCAACGGTAAATATTCTGAAAATTCAATAATTTATCCAAGCCTTCTGCTGATATCGACTTGTATTTTGACAATGCTCTTAGTAAAGTCAATAGTAATTTTCAATTGGCTGAATCAAAGGGAGTTATTTTTGTTCATACTGTTGGAGGCAACGGAAGGGGATGGAGATATGGAAGCGAGTGATGATCATGGTCATCATGGACTACTTGGATATAATGCTTCCAGTGGAAATGGGGGGAGATAGTGGACGGTTTGAATAGTAGATTCTGGACTCTTTATGCTAATTGAAATGGACTACAGAGCAGGAACAAAGAGTAAAGGAAGCAACGGCGGAAAAATGACTAGTAGGCAGGGTGTGGGTGAATGTGTGAGTCTAGAGAAAAACCATCAGGTCCAGACCTACACCCACACCCCTATTATCCGAAACTAGCGAAGAAGGGAATTTGTTAGTTAAGGAGGTGAACAATGTCTTCTTCGATTACGGTTTTCTTAAATTCATTTTTGAAAACTATTAGAACATTAAAATTCAAAGCCTAAGAAAATGATATATTTATATTGAAGAAAATTTATCAAATCACAAAAAGGAAATTAAAAAAACATAATCTGAAAAATTTAAATTGACCTTATATTCGTTAAGACTGGGTATTTGAATTCAAAAAGAAAATAAATTTTCCAAATACAAGTGAATTTACGTTTAAAATAACTTTAGAGGAAAATTAGGTTCCAAAGTAGTATCCATCTAAGAATTGAAAAGGCAATTTTCAAAGAAGAAAAATAATTCATACTTAGTTTAGATGTTCGACGACTGTTTATGATAAGTATCCATGTTCTAATCTCCTCCTCTGCATTTATTTGACGGTTTCCGGCAGGTCGGAACTGAGGCATCTATCAAAAACATTCTTTTTTACTTTGATCCCCTCGGTTAACAGCGTTCGACTCGCCGAAAATGCCATATTTTACTGACCCATCGGCGAACCCTTGACCTATCGGATGGCCACTTGGGTCCAGCGTTAGGAAAACATTATTTTTTTAAAGAAAAACATGTCATCCCATAAGGCGAATCCAAGGAACAAGTTTTGATGAACAAAATTTTTTTCAACGGCTTTATAAAAGGAAGGAAGGAACCCTGTAAGAACTACTTTTTTCGCTGACATCAACATAGCTGAAAAAAACGACTTTTCAAATTTTGAAATTTTTATAGCACAGCCAATGAACATTCAACCCGCGAAATATTTTAACTCGAGACTCTTGTGAGTCGACCCTACAAACTGACAATATTTGACGGTATGCTAGGAGGGGGAGTACCCGGCTCCTTAAGAGCAGATTCTGTTCGTAAGCAAGGAAGTACCCTAACGTTTTTGTCGAAAAACTCTCGGAAAATTTTGTATCTACTATGAATTTAATCAGGAATTTTGAAGTGAAACAGAATCTATCAAGAAACAGTTTTGTAATAGAAATATGTCGAAGATAGTTCAAAAAACGTTTTGTTCTTCACAATCATTTAATCTCATTTTCTTTTGAATAATCTATAAGAATAATAATTAGGATATAAGTATGAATGTGTGGGTTTGAGCTTAAACGCACATCACACACCCTTACGGCGAATTCATACACCAAATACTCGAATTACCGTCTATGGTATTTTATGTGCTCCTCATGTCAAAAGTAAATTGAAATCCAAGCAAACGATTAAAGCTGATAGGGTTTAAATAGAAATATTATTAAGAAGTATTGCAAAAATTTTTGGGCAAACGTCGAAGCCTATATCTTCTTCATTTTAAACATTAAAAGTCTCATTCCTTTTGTGCTTCGAAAGGAGAAAGTCTGAAATAAAAAAACAATCGTATGGATTGAAACTTTTCAATATATTCACACAAGTGAAAATAACCCGAAAACAAAATGTTCTCAAGTAAGATGTTGCAAAAGTAGATGAAAGCTAATTGTGTTATAACTGGTCTTCTATAAATACTGTTTCAAAAACTATATAATGCAAAAGTATACCACTAAAAATCTCTATTTGAATTAGTATATTACTTAGCTTTGCATCACGCATAGTTCGGTTTCAAAAAATGTCTGTTGCATCCACAACAAAAAGAATTAAGAAGAGTGAGTATTGTCGGACAAGACTTATTAAGTTGAATTTGCACATTGACGAATTTTTGTAGTTCAGACTTTGCTCTTTCAAACAAAACGAAATTAACGGGTGTGGGTGGGCGCGGACATTATCACGTTGGAGGCAACTGTTCTTGGTTTTACTATATTCATCAGTACTCAAACTCACACCCTCATCAGCCCCTAATGACAATCGAATGAAAATTCTAGTCAACTATTGTAAGGAAACTTTCGCGATTCTTTCTTGAGCGATTTCATTTCGATAAAATATGTTTTGTATAACTAGAGAGCATTTCTCAAATATCATCAACGCTTCACATTTTCTAGGTTATTTTCGAATCAATGAAATTTTACCTTTACTTAGTAATTCATACTAGTATTTTTAATATCATAGATAAGAATTTTCATAGAGAATAGTGAAAGACTTGATGTTGATGTGTATTTCCTATTTTGTAAAACCTTTTTCTCAACAAAAATTATTAAAACCCATTATCATCAACTATGTGTCCAACACGTTTGTTCACCTTTTCCAACGATTGAGTTTCACTGAATTGCCTTGATAATAATGATGAAAATGTGTTCGATATACTTGACAAATTTTTAGATCGGATTTTATCATTATTGGTACTACTATATGTATTTGTGAATATTGGCGTGTTTAAAACAGTTATTGAATATTCATCAAATAACTGTTGTTGTTTCCGAGCATAATAATGATAACAAGCAATAAAAGAAATTATTGTAATAGATGTAATCACAAATAGTAAACTGTACAAAACATATAGAAGAATATTGTGAGATTCATCTGATGTTTTAGTTGATGTAAACAAAGAAACTAATGACTTTTGAGTTGTAACTAGCGAAAGTGTTGAATTCGACATTACTGTTAATATTTTTCTTGACGTCATGATGAATAGTATTGATTCTGTTATATTTATTGTTTCTACAGTCGTTTTTGAAAATGTCTTTTCTTTAGCTCCCATCAACTTGGTGATTGTCATTAGAAGCGTGGGAGCAGTTATGACACTATAGAATGTTTGTTGAATAGTTTTCGTAGGTGTTTCTGATATTGTTGTTGGTATGATATTGTGAGATGTAGTCGTATCAGTTTTTGATGGGATTGACTGGGTCATGGTAATTGTGAATATGGATATGAATGATTTGGATGTAGTTTCGAATAATGTTATAATTGTTGTTGTTGATAATACAGTTGATGTGGTTTGAAAAAATGGAGTTGTAATCATTGTAAATTCAGATGTTGTTGTAGACATTTGTGATGTTGGATAAATTATTGTGGACATAGATGATGAGACTGAAGTCGTTGTTGCCACTGCAAATGATGTATATATTATTGATGTTGGTATTTCTGTTGTGTATGGTTCTGTCTTAGATGTTAATGTTGCTTGTATGGCTATAGATGATGCTCTCATAGATGGTGCCGATGATATTGTTGTTCTTGTGGTGGTGCGCATTGTTGTCGATATAGATATTGCGGCTGTTGTGGTTGTTGTAGTTGACGTGGACGTTGTTGTTAACGTGGATATTGCTGTTATCGTGGTTCTTATTGTTGATGTGGATGCTGCTTTTGTTTCTGTCTTTATCCTTGTTTTTCCTGTTGTGAATGTTGTTGTTATCGTGGTTGTTGTTGTCGTGGATGTTGTTCTTGTTGTTGTGGATGTTGTTGTTCTTGTCGTTGTGGATGTTGTTGTTCTTGTTGTTGTGGATGTTGTTGTTCTTGTTGTTGTAGATGTTGTTGTTCTTATCGTTGTGGATGTTGTTGCTCTTGCTGTTGTGGATGTTGTTCTTGTTGTTGTAGATGTTGTTGTTTTTGTCGTTGTGGATGTTGTTGTTCTTGTTGTTGTGGATGTTGTTGTTCTTGTTGTTGTAGATGTTGTTGTTCTCGTGGTTGTGGATGTTGTTCTTGTTGTTGTCTTTATCCTTGTTTTTCCTGTTGTGAATGTTGTCGTTATCGTGGTACTTATTGTTGATGTGGATGTTGTTCTTGTTTTTGTCCTTATTCTTGTTTTTTTTATTGTGGATGTTATTGTTGTAAGTATGGTACTTGTAATAGTTTCTACCTAGAGAAACAAAAAAACACATACAGAAATTTGATATTATTCCTGACAGTGTTAATTAGATTAATATGATGTATCTATTCAAAAATGTATGCCTTTTCGAAATACATGTCCTAAGATAATTGGTTTACAAAAATTTACTTTTTATTTAGTTCAGTAAGAGAGAAGTTTTTTTGTTTGTTATGATTGAGTATATCAACGATGATACTACTCACCCATGGTTGAGATTTAGAATCTTGACATTTGCTTCCTTTTACTATTTTCTTCGAATGTGGATACGTTTGTACACTATCAGCCGTTCTTTCTGTGTTAATTTCACAATGAACCATTATTATAAGTCTATAAATGTTCATGAAGTCAATATCATCGTCAATCGTTAGTGGTGCTTGACTTGGTGGATGATTAATAAATTCTAAAAAAATAATCAGATCAGGGAGATATTCATGAAAGTTCGAATTTATGTATTCAGATGTAATCCTTGTGATGTTATAATTGATTACAAATATAGAAAGAACATAGTAATCTGATCCATATTGTTCAGTTGAAAATAGATCTTTAATTACATAAATATTCTGCCTGATAAATCTTTCAAAAATTGAATTATCATCAAAGTACAAAGATAGACATTTGAAGTTCTTTGAGCAATTAGTTTTTAATATCACATCAATATATTTAATAGTGCAATTGACACATAGTGTCGTAAATTCTTTATCATCGTCAACAATTAGTTGATCTGCTGCGTTACAGGTATTCGCTTGTCTACTGTGTGTGGTTTCGAAATTAAAACATGAATTGGTTAGCGAATGATCTAGCTGCATAGTATTGAATATTTTAATGGAAATAACAAAAGAAAACAAAATGAATGATAACATGGTGACAAAAACCGAACTAAAATATCTATGTAAATTATTAATTGTCTTTAAAATGAAAGACAGATGGTAACCAAGGCATCTAGTCATCATTTCATTTTTGATAAATTGTAATGAAACAATATAATAGAAAACATTACTTATTTAAGTTATAATAATAAAGAAAAAGAATATAGTATGTTCTGACGATGATTTATCGGCGACTATATTTACGAATAAGTCTCACGCACCTTTTTCTTGTCTATTTCTGGTTTTCAATGACGGTTCAAAGTATACGACAAAAACTTTTACCATATAGAAAGAATTAATAACAAGAATGCATATGTTCGAAGAAAATTTTTTTTTTAATAATTTTTTGCAGATTTTCTGAGAAATCCTGCTTGTCCTTATGGCTGGATTTTGATGCATAACAACAGACATCTAACTTTGTTGAATCGGATTGAAATTTGTACGACTAATACTTGAAAGTATTCTGCAGAGGTTGATTCGGTCGTTCTTGTTTTTAACTTTCCTATCCTGATTTGTAGGATCGTGTGCATCAAAAATCCCGTTTTGTTATCGAGCATTTACCTATCTCACTCATAGAACAAATAAAAATTGAGAGTTTTGGAATATCTTAAAACTATCCTTGAGATATAGGCCTCTGTATCTCCGAAATACATTTTCAGCTCAATCGGATAAAGTTGAATGGAGTGCAATGTAATAGGATACTGCCTTATGAAAAATATGATTTGCCAGAAAAAAAAACTACGAAGATCCACTTGAAACTATTTTCCTTGAACATGTGTCTTCTTCTAAGCTTTGGTGTTCTATCTGTGGTTAAAATTTCAGCGTGATCGGTTTTACTGTCTCCAGGAGCCAGAAATAATCAAAAAGTGGAGTACACTGAAGTGTAACTGTATGCTTGATTGTTTTCACAGATATTTTCTTCTTCGGATTCGCTATCAAGCGATACTAATTTCAATATGGGGCATTAGTCGAAAAATGCGGTTGTGACCTTGTTTTGGCTGTAAATCCTAAGGATATGGATACTAAGTGTGGCGATGTCTTAATCGTCACTCTTGACCCACACCCACAACTATCGAATAACTGAGCGGACATATGCTTTTCTTGTTCAGACATGACTGTATTATATCACTAAGAAAAATTACCTTTAAAGAAATAAAAGCTGTTTTGCAAATAAAAAAATTGAGAGTAAATCATTTCAAAGATACTGACTTATTAACCAGCGCATAGAAATAGACTTAAATAAAAAACTGACGCATACTACATAAAATAACTCCAAAGTCGAAAATTTTCGATTTCATCATATCAATGATATGTCGAACTGAAGCTGAACAGTGGCTCAGATATCTCGACATGCTACTCTGATATGATCATAGGCTTAAAAATGAGATAACTACAAGTAAATTAAATTCAAAGGCAAAATATTTTGAAAAAAAGGTAAAAATCTAGCTTTTTTTAGATGGATGGATCTTGAAAATCGTTCTTGTCGAGATCTCACAGCTGCCAAAAGAAGTTTTTCTTTTGTAGATCGATAGAGGACACTTCAGCATATATATATATCAACGAAAAACAAAAAAATTGAAAATAAAAATTTCTTTCATGTTCAGAAAGCGGAATATTTTATTTCAAATATTTTGCTCTTTTAATCTGCTTTTCTTATCCATTGTATTACGTAGTTAATATGTCTTCCGACTGCTAAAATGTTGAAAATATCATTCGTAGAATGATCAACAACGAGTTTTTGGATCTAATCAAATAGCTGTGAATTCATTTTTGAAACAATATTTCAGAATATTGACCTTTCAATATTTGATATAAAATAATTTCTCATGAGAGATTTATTGAAAAATTAAAAATCCTAATCGATTGATTTTCTGTCTTCCATTTAATGTTGTTTTATTCTATGAAATTCATTTATAAATATGTGAAATAATGCTTTGGAGAAATTTTACCTATTTCGATCTGAAACATTCGATTTTTAACTTGTTAAATTACAGAGTTATCATTACACTGGAGTTTTTCATCATATAACTATGTGTTATGATCAATGTAACACATTGTTTCATTTGAGAATTAAGATGAAATCTTATTGAAATGAATTGAAAATAAATTTCGTAAATAAAATTCATTTTAATTGATTAAATTTAAGTAATTTAATTTTTGATTTCAGAAGAAAATCATCAAAATAAATCTTACAAAATTTTATTCTGATGAAAACAACTAACAATAAACCTTTCTTTCATAGATTATCGTCTCAATCATTTAAAATGACGATTCAAATTTGACCAATTCTAAACAAATTATCAAAGTCAAGATTTTTAACATACATGGAAAGTTATTTATGAAAAATTTTTTATTAATCAAGTTTCTATTTTCAACAATCTCATCCAAAGATAAAATAATTTCATCTTGTTTCTTTATGTTTTTAATTATATCATTATTAACCTAACATGCCATTCGATAGCCATTTCGATGCGTCGATTTCAGCTTCTCATCTACATCGAAATTCTATATAGAGCCCTTGAAATCCCATTTTCCAATAAATCGAGGGTTCTACAATAGGTCATTTAACGCACAATTTTCGACCATTGGAACAATTATAAAAAAAAATATTCGATATTTGACGAAAACATTATATTCATCAGACATCCAACTTCAATTTGTTTTGCGAAAATATCTTTTTACCAATCGCTTAAATCTCGTTCCCATCTTGAACAGCTTGATACTATGTCGACTTATTCATAAGAAACAAGTACGTCTATCGTCTTTACTAATCATTGCAAATAATTCGTATGAGTTTCAGACATGAAATGTAAAGATACCGTTCAGACACTGTTTTCTCTGATACCTTATGCCATATTACAAAATTACATGAACAATACAACGACAAACAAACAATTAAAGTACATTAAGTAACAGCATATACTCTGTTGTTTTGACGGTAAGTATTAATTTTGAACCACAGTCGAACAATACATGGAACAAGAAACCCGAAACTAAGAGTAAGTCCACCCCAAAGTGCTAAAATTCGTGAAATAATAACCAGATAATTATTATGTTTTTCAAATGTATAAGAACAATAGTTTGGAGCACATTGTTTATAGAATTTCGCGTAGGAGATCTCCAGTACTCCTCCTTCAAAAAATGACTGATAACTAATTTTAGAGATATTAGTGTCCAGCGGATAACGAGTGTCTAGCATAGAATCCAAAGCTGTTATATTGGTAACATTTTCAAGACGTTCAGGAATTCTCTGAACAAAGAATTGCAATAGATCGATACATGTTTGATTGTACAAACATTGGAGTGTTGAATGTCGTATTGTGTCAACAATGGAACAACCTAACTTTAATCCAGGCATCATCCAATGTGAACTATTCATTGCTGAAGAATAAATAGCTCCAGGTTGAACACAATTTATTAGTGTTCCACATGAACATGAATTATTAAGAGTCACGGCATGTGCTCGAACTAATGTCTGATTGCTATTATTATTTAATGGCCAATACCAATTCAATAAATAGCTGGATATTAAAGTATTTCCATGTGTAATACTCTGTATAAGCTCTAGAATGCGAGTTAATCGACTAGATCTGGGGCCCTTCATTTGATACATAGCATCTTCCAGTATTATTTGGTACAGTGGCACGGGCATCAATTGAGCACCTATACGTTTTTCTGATAGAAACTGTAGGATATCATTCTGCTTGGTTGTCTGCGCAAGTGTGCACAACGTTGATAGAAAATTGAAATATGCCCATGCAATCATACGAAAGTCAGAACTCTCGTATATTAACGAAGAGCTGTTACTGAACCATAAATCAAGCGATTGGTAAAAAGATATTTTCGCAAAACAAATTGAAGTTGGATGTCTGATGAATATAATGTTTTCGTCAAATATCGAATATTTTTTTTTATAATTGTTCCAATGGTCGA